TCCAAGCTGTTGGGGATTGGCTACTCGTTGCTGCAATCGGCGCTGGACGCATGGGCTGTTGCGGCGGGCCACGACAGCAAGTTCTGGGATGCGTCGGACGTTTTCCTCATGATCGCCAATTGCCAGGCTATCCAGCGAGAGCAATCTCTACGCAAGGATGCGCGCCATCCGGAAAGCAAGTTTCGGATCTTGCGCAAGTTGGCTGACGGCAAAGAGGTGTTGGCATTCCGCGTGATTCCCACTGCTGCCCGGCAGTTCACCAACCCAACCATTAACCAGTACTATAACGGCAACAGTATAAAGCTGCATCGAGCGGTGGTGCAGTCGCAGAGCAGTCGCAGCCCGCAGCAGCAGCCAGCCAAGAGACCAAAACACGGTGTTCCCGAGGAGCCATGGTCTTGGCTGCCTGCTTGGCGCTCCGGCTGGCATTATGGCTGGCACAGCGAGTGGGAAACCGGGTGGCAAGACGGACAGCACTCCGGGTGGGAGAGCGGGTGGCAAAGTCGCTGAGAGCCCGACGTCAGGTCCAAGGCGAGAGGCGTGTGACGTCAGGTCCAAGGCCAGACGCGTGTCTAGGTTGTCTAGCTGGCTTCCGCGTAGTTGATGCTTCCATGGCTGAAAATTGGCTGTGTCCGTGACCCTAGAATTAGGGTCACATTGCGTGCCCTGCTTGTAAGAGCACGGAGTGTTCACCAATAGTAGAGTCTTCCCTTTCTTCTCTCTCCCTACACCTCAGGTCCTGGCTGCACCGGTTTACGCGGACCTCAACAGCCCACCAGGCTCCATGCACTCATACCGCCGCAAATGTGGTCAGCCTTTCGAGCATCCTTAACTCAGGACCTCAAAACTAGCCATAGCCTCCCGGGCTTGTGGATCACAGCGGGCTTCCCACATGGTCGCATCGCGGACCCCAACAACCCACCAGCCTTTCCAAGTCAAGCCAACAGTGCCTTACTTGGCTGGCGTCGTGCTTTCGACACTCGCCATTCAGTCTTTGGCGCGGCCACGCCAGCTGCAAGCTCTGGCTGCCCGACGCGTGTGCCGAAGATAATGTGGTCGGGGGCTGGGCAATCACATCCTCCCAAGTGGTCTGGTTCGCCGAGACCTGGAACATGCAAGACATAAGAGCCGTGTGGCCTTGCCTTGTCAAGCCAGGACAGCGGTACATCGCATGCTTTGAAACTCTTGCACAGTTAGCACTGCTGCAAGCAACCCCAGCCACATTGTGACATCGCTAGGCTTGCAGGGCTGAAGCGTATGCGACAGGCAGGGCGATGGCTGAACCGGGCCAACCGACCTCTGCTGAGATCGTCCGCCCAATCATTGCCTTCCTGGAACGTGCGTCGGCTGCAGCAGCACGTTGTGAGCGTGAGCCCAGAAGGCTGTTAATTGCACAAAAAGTTGCAACGGCCAGAAGGTCGTGAACAGTTTGTAAGGTTGTTCCGTGGCGGAATTATCTGTGCCGGAAGGCATGTAAACGAGTAGTGGAGGCATTCAACTGTGTCCGATGCATGCGCGTCGGAACATTTGGCAGCAGCCTCTCCGTCGTCGCTGCACCAGCCTAGCCTGCATCCGACATGGCCTTCTGACCCAACATCCGCCGCCCTGTAGCCAGAACACTGGCGATGTCAGCCAGCCGCTTACTCAAGCCGCTCTGACCAGAAAAAAGTGCAGTCACCGCATGCCAAGCTGTTCACAACCCAGCGTGCATGGTGACGCTAGCATCTGCCCTAGGTACAACCCCCTCCAAGCTAGGAGCAGTGCGACACCTTAACGCTGAGGGTTTCATTTCCCTTGTGTTTAGGGCATGTGGTGAATCGACTATGCGTTGGCCGTTTTGCTTCTAGCCTTGACCCAAACCTGCGGTTTCATTTCTGAAACCCACACCCGCCCTGCACTGCCCTATGCCAGGCTTTGCCAGGATAGGTAGCAGTTTCTCTGCACTTTCGTGGGTCACTTTGGTCTCCGGACCAGGTCTCCAATTTCGGTCTCCGGACCTCCGGACTGTCGGTCTCCGGACCTTGGGGCGTGGGCACGCATGCCGCGCCCCCCAAGCACTGCATTTACACGCAAGGCACGCATTGTCTTGCCTTTTCACATTTCGGGGGGTCAATGTAGTGCCCTGGAAGCAGTGCAACTTTCAGCAATCCCGGTAAAAAGAATTGCGGCCGCTTCGGAGCTTTGTTCTTTTGAGGTTTCATGTTTGGGTTCAAGCTAGGAGCAGTGCGACATGCCTTAACTTGGATGTACTCCCTCTTCCAGCCGCAATTTGACTTGTGCTTGAATTCTTGCTGAAATTGCTTCGATCCGGTCATAACATGGTGCCAATCCCCCTTTTGAACGCCAACCCGGTCGAACTGGCGCAGCCCTCATGGAACTGGCATGGAAGCTCCATGCGGCAATGTCAATTTGGACCTATATTGGTTACCCAGACTGCAGAATTCCGAAGCAGACACATTAACCAATTGCTTCGTACAAAGGGGAAATCTTTCACCAAATGCTCGTTTTAGGGAAGGTCTTTACGCGGACATCAAAGATGCCAAGAAGAAGAGACTTGAAAGGAGCGATTGGCGGATGAAAGTCAAGAGGGCCAAGCATGAGAGTTGTCCGGGAGACTTGGACGAAGGAGTAAGAGGCTGGAGTCAAGTCGGCGCTGCGCGTTTTTTCAGGCATGCTGGCCTGAATGGATTTGGGTATGAGTATGACGGTTTCACGATTTCAGAGTTCCCCGCATGACTCCAGCCAATACTCCGAAAGCGAAAGAGACAAAAAGAGTGGAGCGCTCGATTTGGTTTGTTTTCGCTTTGGTGCTCATGCTCATTTCATGGCACTTCATACTTTGTGAGTAGGTTTGGGGTTTCAGGCTAACGCCTTTATTTGGCTCAATTTAAAGGTTTGCCGACAGGGTCACGCGTAGTGGGCTCGCCCATCGAAGTGGGGCCCGTTAGGCTTTAACCTGGGTTCGCACATGATTGTGCTTCTTTCCCCCCAGGCGGGGGGATGTTTGCTTTCAATTGCATGTGTCGGTTTCATGTGAAGCTCCTGACAACTATTTTGAACTTGTGATTGCTTGAATCATGCTTGAAACTTGATTTTCAACGGTTTTGCATTCATGTGGGGAGGGTTGTGAAATATTCTCTTGATGAGATTTGGCTCATTTTGAGCACCCACCCAACCCCCTCCCTCTTTTTCAGGCATGCTGGCCTGAATGGATTTGGGTATGAATATGACGGTTTCACGATTTCAGAGTTCCCCGCATGACTCCAGCCAATACTCCGAAAGCGAAAGAGACAAAAATAGTGGAGCGCTCGATTTGATTTGTTTTCGCTTTGGTGCTCATGCTGACTCATGCTCATTTCATGGCACTTCATACTTTGTGAGTAGGTTTGGGGTTTCAGGCTAACGCCTTTATTTGGCTCAATTTAAAGGTTTGCCGATAGGGTCACTCATTCATTCATTCATTCATTCATTCATTCATTCATTCATTCATTCATTCATTCATTCATTCATTCATTCATTCATTCATTCATTCATTCATTCATTCATTCATTCATTCATTCATTCATTCATTCATTCATTCATTCATTCATTCATTCATTCATTCATTCATTCATTCATTCATTCATTCATTCATTCATTCATTCATTCATTCATTCATTCATTCATTCATTCATTCATTCATTCATTCATTCATTCATTCATGCATGCATGCATGCATGCATGCATGCATGCATGCATGCATGCATTCATTCATTCATGCACCCGCCCACGCATTCATTCATTCTCTCTTGCACTAACCCATTCCCTCCTGAATCCATGAGGTTGCACTGGCAAAAATGCATAATTGTCACAGCCGAAGGGCGCGATGGACGGGCGTCAACATCAGGGACATCTCATGGCACTACCATTTTTCCAATTTTTGAGCACAACGCCGCGACAAAATCCAGGCGCCCGCCATTGTCAGAAACCCACATGGCCGCGATGACAGTGGACTCGGCGCCGGTCGTGGCGGACCCGCCATGACCCGGAACTGCCATGGGTCTCGATGGGCCTCACCCCGGATGAGAACGGAGAGCTCGCGACAGGCGTTGCGAGGTTAAAACCCTGGCCTGGTAAGGTTGCTCCCATTGCTGAGCAGTCAAAGATGTGGTCAAACTATTCATGACACATGTCTCAAAAAAGTATTTGAGTATGTAGATGTTCTATTGATTGCGCAATTGTCTCGCTTTCCTTTCAGGCTTGCAAGCTTCTGTTCGTCACGTAGAAAAACACGTTCTGGAAAAGTGAATATTTGGAAAATATATCGAGGCAATAATTTCCAATTCAGCCAAATACATGCGTGGGTTAAAACGTTGCATGCCTTCACAGCTTCAAGTTAGGCTGTTCCGCGCAGTGCAAATGCCAGCTGTTTGCCCGATTCACTCATATGGAATCCTCACTGCCCAAGGGATTTGGCATAATTTCGAGAGGGAGATTCACATTGGCTTCCAGGGCGAATGGAGTTTTCCCATGTCAAGCTTCCTGGGTGTTTTGTTGTTCGGGATCAAGGATGGTTTCCGTTTCCCCGAGTGGCCAGTTGGTTTATGAAACCACAGGTCCTGGGAGGTCCTGTGGTCCGAAATGTGGGCGTGTTGGCTTGCTGAGCCTCAGCTTGGGGCTTCGGGGTTTGACGCGCCGGAATTTAGTGAGGGTACCAACCCGAAATTGTTTGCTTCCTTTGTTTTCCCCTTATTGCTCACCAAGGGGGTTCCTACCGTTCATGGCTGGATGCAAAAGAAGACGAGGGCCTTTGAGATCGGCTTGGCAAAACGCCTGCAGCTTTTTGCTCACGACGAAAAACCAGGGAAGCTGCAAACCTACAGTGAGTCTTTCATGTTTTCCCCCTGCCACTCATAGGTCAGCCACTGTTTGCTGGGATTCCAGCTGAGGCCACTGAGTGGATTTGTAGCATCTGGACCCCCAAAAGTGGCTGGCTGCGTGGCCACCCAGTTTTGCGACTCATGTCGTCTCTCTATGAGAACTTGCGACAGCTGATCACAGCCCGGCAGCCAAGACCTTTTTGAGTTGCAGATTTTCTTAACCCCATTCTCACTGTCTAGGTGTTCTCAAAGTCAGCATCTGATTGGGGTTCCCTTTCACCTGCTAATTCGGGGTGACTTTGATGAGGGTGACCGGGGTCAGGCCCCCGGTGCCAACATTTGTGGGGTTCTTTCAAGGTCGGGTTGTTGTCCATCAACAGTAGCAAGGGGCGAAGAATCTGTTGCCGGTCATCGGCACAGATGGCTCTCGCTTGGCTGATGCTACCAGTTTGGGATCGCTCCCGTGATTTGGGTCATGGACTGCGTTTTACTTTCCCACACGGAGAGTCCTGTTCGGAAGGGCGTTAAAAGAAACCACGATAGATTTGCACATGTGACAAAATGGAGGGCGCCGAAAATGGTGGCTTCCCTCTTTTGCCAACCCCCGGTGGACCTGAACAAACACATCATCCATTTAGAGGGTTTCTTTTGCTTTGGATGGGAGTTGCGCTCTGGGGGTTGATCAAAAGGTGCTGTACTTGAGATGACCATTGGGGCAAACCGCAAGAAAACATATGTTTGCCACGCAATGGGAAACATACCCATGGCCATTTGGGGACCAGGGACATATATATATATATATCGATCAACCCCCATCTCACCCCAGGATTGCTTTAAAGTGTATTTTTGCCCACTGAATGGGACACGTTACCCATGGTGATTTGGGGATGGCTTTGCGAAAGCCTTTGGGAGATTTGGCGGCCAGGTTCATCATGTCGGATTGGTTCAAGCTTGGTGCCGAGGTAGTGGATGAGCTGCGGGACGTGGGGCCGCGGCCTGAGCGAACCCATGGGTGTTTTGCAAGAATGGGATTCGGCCCCGTTGAAAAAGAGGCCAAAAGCAGAACCATCTGTTTAAAAAGAAGCCAAAAGCACCAACAATAGAAAGTCTTTTTCTTGAATTTTCAAATTTTCTGATACACACTCGCATCTGGCGGTAGTTTGTTGCGTCTCGAACTGCGGAAGCACAATTTGAGGTGTTTGCAATTGAATTGAACCCAAGGAGGGTTGAGGGCAACCGTATTGAGTCGGCTTGACCGCTTCAACTTACACTTCATGGATTTGATTCAGGTTGATTCAGGTTTACGTTTCGTTTATATTGTGAAGGTTGCTCGCCCATTTGAAAAGTGGAACCCTTTGGGAAATGGGCCCATTTGCACGATGGGTTTGCTGGAGGATTGGTTTCGTGGGCACCAAACAAACCTGAGCCACTTGCCATCGCCGACCGTTTATTTTTTTGTGGTTTTGGGTAATGTTGACTCCATATTAGTCAACCCCAGTTTATGAATAGCAGGGGTGTTCCCCTCCAAAAGGGATGATTCTCCACAACCTGTTTTTGGGTTTCCCCCTTACAGCTCCGCAAGCGGCACCTCCTTTCTTCCCCCCGCTCGGGCATCCGTGCGCTCCCGACTTCGTTGGCCGCCGCTCCGTCTGCGCGAGGCTGTCGCGGTACATCTCGCTGCCCCGGATCGCGGCCATCGGCACGCAGAGCAGCGGGAAGAGCTCCCTCATCGAGTCCATCGTGGGGCCTGGGGGCCGAGACTTCGCAGTTCGAAGGATGGGATGCGGTCAGCGAGGCGGAGCTTGGCGGAGCTTGGAGCTGGGCGGGTTTTTTCCGGCCCTCGGGACTGTGGGAAAGATGGGCGGTCTGGATCTTGATGTGAGCGACTGGTTCGGGGCGGACAGGAGGGTCCCACCCAAATTTCCTGTAGAAAATATCAGGCCTTCCAATGTTCCAATGTCCGCTTGGGAGAAACACAGGCCCAATTTCAGTCAGATCACAAGAAACTTAATTGGCTTCTCATTTTAATCCTTAACACGTCTTTTGGATTGTTGGTTTAGGGTTCAACCCCCAAATTCACCAATTACAACCCCGAAGAGCTACCTGACAAGTGTGTCCAAAAACCAGAACTTTTCTGAAATTGTGACTTTTTAGCTTGGTTTGCTTTCCTGATGTGTGTCCCCTGTGGCATGCCGTTTTTGGAATAGCCAATTTCCGCCTGATTCGGAAGAAGCCAACTGGGAACCAGGCGCATTGTGGGTGTCCATTTGGGAGAGAGGATTTCAGCGAAAGGTTCTAAGCAGGAGGACCTTTCAGCGGCAACGGAGGATTTACAAGGCCCCACCTTCAAGTAAGCACGGAGAAAGCGCAGGGCTCCTTGGTCCAAATTGTTTGCGATCAATTCCTGATTATAGGAAACTCTGTCAAAGTAGCTACCAAAACCAATCATTGGTTTTGGTAGCTATTTTGACAGAGTTTGTTATGGGTGGGCTGTTGCATTCAGGACTCAGGCTAGCTTTCTTCGTGTGGGTTTTAAACATCACGTGTTGGAGAATTCCCCTTCAAGCGAGTTTACATTTGTTTCAGCAAGGGCAAAGTGAGCTTCCTTCAAAGTGGTGGGTCTTGGCACAAGAGCGAGCCCGAGCTTGTGAGAAACTCCAGAATGGATTAGCTTTGGTTCGATCATGCTAGGTGGGCTCCTCCAAAAGTACCAAGCGTCTTCGGCATCCTCCACTCCACGGCTCCACAATTTCCTGATCCCACCAAGGACATGGACGGTCACGCCATTTAAAGTACAATTCCCACCAGAGCCTAAAGTCAGCAGCGGGGATCCATGTGCACAAGCCACTTTTCAAGTATTTTGCCCAAGCTTCGCTTCTTGGCTCTCCATCCGCAGCGAGCCTCCCTCGCTCAGGTTGGACTTCCTGCCGCGCGGCGGCGGAGTGGTCACCAGGTGGGGGAAGTTGAAGATCAGATTTTCCGAAAAGACTTGCTGGTGCCCAGTTGGGAATGAGAAATGGAATGACCCCAAGAGAAAGCATCCAACTGGTGGCTTCCTTAATTCCCACATTCCCTGCTAAGCACCAGCAAGAAGAATGGTTTGATTTCCGACTCGAGGGGCCTGCTAACGTGGTTAATATTCAACTGAGCCGGGGTTGGAGCAAGCCTGGGTTTCAAACTGGCTTCCTTTGGGCTGTTCAAAGGCAATCTGTGAAACTCCTTGTGGACCAACAGGGCGCTTTTGCCAGCCGGGGCTCCTGCAGATGAGTGGCCAAACCTTTTTTTTGACCAGCCCGAGGTTTTTACCCCGTGAACGCGTGCCCGTGTTTGGTCTCAAGACATCCCGGAAGAATCATTCGATAGTTCGCGAAAACAAAGAGCCGGAGCCTCGCTTTTCGAGCCTCCGTCTTTTGTGGAAGATCATTCTTCCAGTGGTGGCTTCTTTTCCGGGCGCAGGAGGTGAGGAACGCAGCACCCAACCCGACAAACGGAACGACGACCGGGACGAGAACAACAAGCAAGCGAACAGGCAAACTACGAAGTGACGAGCCGCAAACAGCAGGCAAAACAAACAGGACAGAATGTAGAGCAAACAAAACACACTCAATAAACAACAACAAACAAACATAGCAACAAACCAACAACACATAGTCAACCACACAACACTTGACTGCCATTGGTTGGATCTTTAGACTTTAATAGCATTTTTTGGGACCTCAAGGTGTTTTCCACTAAGCCCCCAAGAAGTTATTCACTTTTTTCAGTGGGGTCAACAGCAACCACACCACATTTTATTTTTTTACACAAAGACGTGGCAAGCCAAGCTGAATCAGGAGCCCAAGCAACTTTTCAGGCGTCCCTTGGAGCTGCGCCTGGTACACCTGAACACCCAGGACGGGGTTGGCCGCAACAAACAATTTTGGGCGTGTTGATATTCTCTTTGTGTTTTTTTGGGTTTCCTTCTTTCTTTTTGCTCCCAGGATTTGGACCCCCCCCCAAAAAAAGAAGAAGAAGTGGCTTTCTTTTTGGTCTTCCTTCAAAACCAGGAGAAAAAGCAGGGGAACAGGGTTTTCCTTTTGGTCTCGCTTTAAAACCACAAAAGAAGGGGGTACCCTCAAAAGAAAACACACCTACTTGGCCATTACTTTCGACAAGGAAATTATATATTTTTTGGTCCACAGGTCAGAATCAGCTTGCCAGTTATGCCTTTTGGCCTTTTGTAATAATTTTCCCTTACCAAAAGAAGCTTGGATGTTTCTTGGCCCCCCCTTTTGGGATTGGTTTAAAAGGGAAACCGAAAGGAACCCCAAACTATTTTGAGAGCTCCGTTATTTGCAGACAAGCTCATTTGGGTTGATGAAATGCAGGGGATCCTGACAACTCATACTCAAGCTGATCCAAACTCACTCAACTCAAAAGGGTTAGATAACAGGGTTTGTCTCCGCAATTTTGTGGGTAAAACCCAAGCACATGTCTCTAAAGGCCCAAATTAGGTCTGCTTGTTCACACGGGGGGTCTGTTTTAGAGGGTACCCCTTTTGAGGGTTAAGGGGACAAAGAACACCGATGCCACTGGTGGGATCCCCTATCTTGACACAAGTTTCCGCAGTTCTTTTTGTGTTGGACATGCTCCCTCACGTTAAGACGCCGCCAGATTCGTGGCGTCCACCATGGTGACCTCCAGGGTGGCCAAGATTGCCCCATCCTTCTCTGCATGCGCACGGACTCCTGACAGAAGCGAGAAGGCTAGCTTTCGTGTCCAAGCTGGCATGGATGCTGAACGGAACAATCAGCGTGAACAGCCTGATCGGTACGCGCCGGGAGATTCTTCTGCTCAAGGGGGTGCCGCATTTGAGCTCAGCAATCCGTCCTCCCAACGACGGTCGGCTGCGGACCTGGCCACTACCCCACTGTGCGCCTAGTGTTACAGGCGCACAGTGAGCGCGTGGGCACAATGCTTAAAGTGAATTTCCTCTTGTGGACAAAGCAAAGGGCTGTGCCAGGCCGACTGCCGGCATTCTGGGTCTCGATGAGTTCCTTCCCGCTTGGGTGTGTGAACCGGGACGGGAGGAAGCGCAGTGGCAGGGCTACTCAGGTTCTCCCGTTTGTTCCCTGGCTCACTGGGGGTAAACCGCTTGTTTACTTGGAGCTACTAGTGAGCGAAAGCTGAAACCCTTCCTTGGCAGGGAGATTAGGTGCTTGGGCATTGCAGGACTTGAGAGCTCTTCTGTTTTTTTTTGGTGCCAAGTCAGCAAGTGGCCCGTGACCAAGTTGTGACACACGTATATAAGTTCCCCTAAATTCTTGAAGGGCCCTGCCGGGGAGAGCGACCCGGAATGGGGAGGACACCGAGTTTATGCCTGCAATGCAAGCCGGTGGCTACCCGCTTCCGGGGTTGAAAAGGCCTTGGGAAGGACCTTCCATGCGGGCGATGGGATTCCTTTTTGACTTCCACCTTCAAGGTTTACGAACTTGGAGAAACACACACACACACAGCCCTCAAAAAAGCGACAAACAGATAACAGAAGCAAACAAAAGCTTGCGTGGCGCCAGGAATTCCAAGAAGATCAGGCATGGGCGGTCTTCGAGAACATAGGCGGGATGGATCGCTCGGAATCCCTTGGAAGTTCGTCTGGCAAGATCTGCACGATGGGCAGAATCCGATATTTGTAAGGGTTTTATCCACAGGTCTAGGATTTTGTCCAACAGTGTAGGTGTCCAATTGGATTCGGCCGATTCAGTTGAACATAGATGCGTTCCGAGTTGTATCCATTGCCATCCATGATCCATGTTTCTAAAAGGAGGGTTCCAGCTCCGCTGTTAAACTCTACGAATCCCAGGACTCCCCCTGCAACTCGAAGGCGGCCTGTCAGCCCTTTATGTCTTGAATATTGGTCGAGTGTAAGCACCATCATTTTGCTTTAGGCTTCATGGCGTTGCAATGCGAGCAGGATGGCCTAGCTGCTGATAGCCACACAGCCTCCACTGACAGGGAGGGAATGCAGTGGCTTTTCAGGTTTGCAACGTCACCCTTTCCAGGCCAACTCAAACCGGAGCTTATCCTGGAGGGGTTTCCCGATAGGGGGCTTTGACCCCGGTCGAAAAACGATCCAGATGGGGGGATGTGGTGGGGTTACTCCAAATATCGGTCCCACCCAACATTCCTAGAAGCTACTGGATGGTTTCCTCCGTCAAAGCTAGGGGGAAGCTGACACGAGCATGTGCCAAGGGAGCAAGGGGCAACTGTTTGGTTCATCAGGGAAGGCCCATGGAATCAACCCTATGGTGAGTTTCATCCGACCTGGAAGCCCCTAGTTCTGACATGGCCTGCGAGTCCAGTTTTTGGGTTCTTAGAAACAGTTGCCCACCGGAGCTATACAAACAGCTTTGATACTCTGCCGGAGGTCTCCCGACAGGTTTCTCTGCGTGTACCTTTTTTGGAGTCTACGGTAGCCTTTTGGAAACCCACAGGGTCCGATAATTTTGGAGACAACTTCGGGTGAAACAAAAGGGGCCCGTATTTGGAGGCAAATGGTTTGTTTCACACATTTCTTGTCCGCCAGGTGACAAGAAGTACACGAACTTCGACGATGTGCGGAAGGACCGATCTTTCCGAACTTATGTGAAAGCCAGTGGGAGGCCCAAGCCCAGCATGTTGCACGGTGAATCGGCGGGTTGGATTTTTCTCACACAGGGGTTTGCGACCCAAACGATTCAAAGGGCTCAGCTTCCTTGATTCTTGCTGCCAAAGTCCCTGCAATTTCCTCCTGGTTTGAGGGGTGTGTTTGATTACAGAAGTACACCTGCACTTTTTGAAAATCCAACTAGTCCTTCACGTGGATCCCATGAATATCAAGCTGGGCTCAGCAACTCGATAAGAGAGGCTTCGCAGGTTCGGTGAAATCGCCTCAGGGGGAGAGACGCACGATGTGACACAAGGGAACAAGATCCGCCGGGAAGGATCTGCAAGGTTTCTGGCCTTGGCATCGTCTCAAATGCGATATCCAGCGGCGTTTCGCCGGGAAAAGAAGTGGAAAGCCACTTTGGCTGGGGTCACTCAATAAATCATGTCCCTTGTTTCAATCATGGCCTTCATTTTATCGTTCTAAACGCATCAAGCTGGTATGTCAATACCATACTTGGATCTATGTAATTTGCATCGCGCAACTTGATGTGATCAGATTTGGGATCCGTTTTGTGACCCTTCTGGAGGCCAGAACGGACTGCTTCGGCTGCAAGACGCCTGAATGGTGTGTTTGATTTCTTGGTTGTGCTTGATCTACCAGTAACAAGTTGCAGAGGTAGCAGGAGCTGGCTAAGCCGAGCTTTGTGGGTCAAGAAAAAGTGCTTGATCTCTTGTTTATAGTCAGGGTCTCCAAACAAACAGAATTTCTTCGGCCCATCATCCTGCGATTCAGGAGGTGTTTGAGCCTTTGGTCTTTTAACTCGCTCTCCCCCTCTCAAGGGGCTTGCAGGGCTTTGCGGAAAGTGGCTCCACGGCAGACGACTGTTGGAACTTGGGATAGTCCCCTTGTCACATCTTGAATCTTGGAGCGGCAGGTCTGCCCCTTTCGCGGAAATTGACGAACTCTCCTCTGATCTGATTTCTTTCTGCTTTTTGGTTGACTGAATATAAGGCTTCAGGTTGACTATGACATTCTAAGGTGACCGAAGTATGAAGCATCGTGGATGACAAAGCACTGGGGCTTCGCTGCATGCCTCCGCGAAGCGGAAATTTTGTACAGGAGATCGAGCGCCAGACGGACGCCGTCGCCGGCACGCCGGGGCTCCCAGACCAAGGGCGCCTTTCCGGAAACTGGACATCTGAGTCTTGGGCGTGTCTTAAAATCGGGGATCCCCAAAAGTGGGTGGGTGTCCCTTTGGTTTCCCTTTAAATCAACCAACCAAAAGGGGGTACCACCAAAAAAAGAGAGACCCTCATCGGCGGTTCCCAGCCGCCCGGTTTGTTCCTGAGGTTTTCAGCTTTTTCGGTGGTTTCGTGGGGGCTTTCGTTTAACCCCCCAAAAGATAAACATTGAGCGGGGAAATTGGGGACAGCCCAGTGACTGAGAAGCTTTCTTCCTGCTTCTTTGTATGCTTTTCAATTGGTATTTCTAGATGTTAAGGGAAGCGAAAAGAGAAACACCCATTTTGAGGAGTCCCCCGTTGTCTCAATTCATCCTTTGATGTCACTTTCTAACCGTGCAAGAACGCAACACCATCTCTTTTAAAAAGCACACACATGGAAACCATTTTGGATCCCAGTGGACACTGCAGATCCTGCCTGTCTCGTAGGTGTTTCTAGGGCAGGGCCTTGCCGAGCAAGAAAATGGCGGAAGCTTCCCACATGCCCGGCTCGAACCTCGAAGCACCCCATTCCACACAAGTCGACCACGCGGGCGAAAGAGCCAAACCCACAGGTTGACCATCGGAAGCCTAGTAAGCAACCACTTTCCATGGTTGCAAGTCCCCTTTTTGAGAAACCATGTTGGCCAGAATCCAAGCAGTGATATTTTTAGGCGCGGGTGGGAGAGCAAGGTTTTCTTGGGTTGACCAAAAGTTGGATGACCGGCAGGAACAAGGGCATCGTCAACGACCCCATTGTCCTCACGGTCTATGCCACTGGCGCGCCAGACCTGACCCTCATCGACCTGCCCGGACACTCGGATACCCCAGCTTCGCTGGAACGGAGCTGGTTGGGTGCGAAATCGGTAGCGCCCAGTCGGTTGCCTTGCCAAAGGGACACCAAGCGGAGATGGATTCAATTGCTCAAAGGATACATTGGGCCAGTTAGAACGCCAGAGATCTTTCATAGATCCTTCAACGGAGACACAGTGAGGTCTTCCATCTTTCTATCAGTAAGCATCCCCCGCCACATGTGCTTAACGGAAGCCCCCGTCGGCGGAAACGGGCACGAGCCGACTTTTGGTTCCAACCTGGCCATGATTTCAAGTAACCAGGTTGTAGAACCACCGAAATTTGTCAAAGGGAAACCAGCAAACCACCCAAATTGCGGAGGTTCCCTTTGGGGTATGTGTTAAAATAGCGGAGACCCAACAATGCTCAAAATCGATACCCAAATCGATTGGTGCCAATCTAAAGCACACGTACCCATTCTGAGACCCTCCTATCCCATTGACACGAGCACGAAGGGGAGTCTTGCGCTAGGCCGGGTGTGACTCGGGTGCCATTGAAGGGAAGCGACCAGGCTCGGGATGTGGGGCAGACCGAGACGCACGGTGATCTAGGGAACTGGACTTTAAGGAAGAACGTTACACCTGTGGGAAAATCGTCTAATTTCGAGACGCCCAGATGCTGTTGGTTGCTCTTTTGGAGAATGGGACTGTCCTAAAGTGGGCGACCCCTGGGGGCATGTAAAAGGAAGCCAAAGAGACCTACCTATGTTTTGGCGTCTCCCTCTTTTTGATCGGGGCCTCTTTGGGCCCCCATCAATCCATCTCGGACTTGTGTCAAGTGACATGCAAAGTTTGACTAGTGACCCTTTCTTGGACGTCAATGACGTGGGTATTCATGTCCACCAACTACCTTTGCGGTGGGTCCCTATCCAGATTTAGCGCCATATATATATATATATGGGTAAGCACATACACTTCATACAATTTCATGATGCAGACATCCACCTTGCGTTTATGAGTTTTGGCTTGTTTGCCATTGGCATACACTCCAGAGCCCACAGGGCCCCCAAACACAATCCTTTTTCGAGACATCTCGCGGGTCGGGGCTGTGGATACTGCGGTTTTCCTATGTACACAACCCGCAGAAAGGCGGGCACCAAGTGGCCCTTCCCGAACGCAGGAGTCTCTAGTGTTTTCTTTGATACAAAGTAAGTCAATAACTATATACAGTACATATATATATATACACATTGATGCGTACATGTACATATAATGCAGTGCCCAGAATTCTGGGTCTCAGCCGTCAGTGGACGGCTTCCAAATGGGTGGGTCAAGATTACAGCATCAGGCCGCAGGTTGTTGTTGTTTCCATGTACCAGGGCAAGCCATTTTGGGGTCAGCCAATTTTTGACCCACAAATCTAAACTCCGAGGATCCTAATTCGGAATTCAGCGAAGTTTGGCAAACAAACCAACCACATGGAGCCAAAGGATGCACCAGGCTTTCCGACTTCCCTACTTATGAAGGGAGCTGTAGAGTTGCTTCTGGTTCCTTCACAGCTTGGCATGTTTTTTTTTTCTTCTTTTTTTCTTTTTTTTGTGTGACCATTCTTTGTGCGTTGCAACAAGTGCAACCCAGAAGTTCTTCCGTTTTTTGGCTGAGCTACCAGCAAGGATGGTTCCATTATTTTGGCTACGATGCCAGCGGTGCTTGTTTCATTTGGTTGGCTTAAGATTCCAGGAGTTCCGTGGGACGAAGTCGCCCTTCGTTTGTCAAACACTGGGGTCATTGTTTTGACTGTTTCTGGGGGTTATCAAAGTCAGAAAGCGTGGTTGTTTCCCTTTAACCCACCATGGTAAAATAATGAGGCCAGCAACATGGCGTTGATTGGGGGAGGGATCTCCATGGGCGGCATTCTCTTTTTCTCGAGAAGAATGGCCCGATTTGCTTATTGGTTGCGGGGCGATTGCTTGATTCCACTCTTGAATTTCAAGTTCTTTTTTGGGGTGGAGTTTGGGATCTCCAAATATGGGCCTGTCTGTGGCTTTAGCGGGCAACCAACAGGAAATGCCTATTGCCCATTCAGGTCTATTTATCCTTGTTCGTCTCCCGTCTTTCTGGAAGTTGATAGGAGACCAAAAGGACACCACTCATTCTCAACGCGACACCAAACAAGGACATCAAAAAAGCGGACACCACCCATTTTGATCAGCAGGGCTCCTTAAAAGATGCATCTTGCCCATTTGAAACATGGCTTTTTGCGCCAAAACAAAGGGAAGCCACAATTTACAAGTTGCAATGTTCAGGTGTATAATGCATCCGGATCCCTGATCCGGCTCCGAATCCAATCTCAGGACAAGCCCTTTGACAAGCGAAGCACGAGCCAGGTGGAAGACATCGAGAAGATCACGAGGGACATGACGCTGCACTACATCAAGGAGTTGACGTCGTGTAAAGAACTCGGGCCCTCTCAGTGGATTTGTCTTGGAGGGCCACTTCTGGGGTTTGAGGGGTCACCCTTAGGGAAGCCTGTTCGCTCCTGGCTGCAACATTTGTTCATTCCAGCCCCTGTGGTCATTTTGCCGCCACAGACAAGGTTTTCAGACAGCTCCAGTGAGGTTCCAGGCAACATACCTTTGTTTGGGTGTGTGTTTCTTTATTCTGAGACTGCGGGATGTCAAAGGTCAAATGACGAAAGCTTTCTGTCACACCTTAAAGCCTTGGAAGCCTAAGGCGGCACAAAATCACGCTGCTTGTTCCAACAGCTCCCGTTTTGAACAAGAACCCTTTTCCAAAAGACTTTGGGAACATCCATGAGCTTCCTCTCAAGCAGTGCAGGTTTGCTCCAGGTATCATAGGGCTGGGATGAGCCATTTTTGGCCTTTGAAACAAAGGAACCCAATCAATCGGGTGGCCAGCCAGCAACAAGTGTCACAAGTACAGGAGGGGCCAAGGTTTAATGGCGGTGCTTAGCCACCTGGGTGAATTCTCCTAGGGCTGACGTCCCCAATTCTTTCCAGGAATCTTTCTTTTGAGACCGTCAACAAAAGAGGGGGAACAAGAGTAGGTTCTGGAAAGCGCGATGGTTGAACCCCCTAGAAGCAAAAGGCACGCTTTTCTTTTTTTGGGTGAACTCGGCAAGGGCCTTCTTCAGACCTTGAGGTCTGAAAACTAAGCCGCTACATTGCTAAGCGCCTTTGGCAAATTCCGGGTACCTCCAGAAAGGCCCCCACAGAGTCTGGGCACGTCAGGCAATGGTTAGCACCCATGGGCACATTACCCGCGAAAGCCACGGCTGGAAGTTCCCTGTCCGTGGCCTATCCACTTTCATGCCGAATCGGTGGAAGGTGCCCTAAACCCTAAACCCTAAACCCTAAACCCTAAACCCTAAACCCTAAACCCTAAACCCTAAACCCTAAGTCCCAACCCGGTTTCCACTCTCCCTGCACCACGTACCCTCCGGTCCGTATTGGGCCCAGCAAAATGGGGCCATGACCCCTCAGTAAACCCCCCCCCACGCTGGCAGACTGGGAGACTGGGGCTTGCGTGCGCCAGGACCCAAGGACGATCATCCTAGCGGTGATCCCGGCGAACCAGGCCCCGTTTCTTGGGGGCGTTGCTCAGGTTGGCCGAGCGGGTGAGTGGATGGGTGGATGGGTGGAGGGGTGGAGGGGTGGATGAGTCAGGCCCCTACCCAGTTCTGGGTTCGTAGAAGGACTCTTCGATCAGAAGCTTCTGAGAACCTGGGCTGGGGTGTGGGGGGCCTTTTGTTCTGTGCCTATAGCTGAGCAGCACTTGGATATGGTGGATGACCTTTTATCGAAGGCATGGACGCTGAGGTGAGACATGCCCCAACTGCCATGCTTGTTTCAGGGGTCCAAAGATTTCGATGAGACAGTATGTGGCAGTTCATGGATTGGATTTCTGACCTCTGGCAAGATTGAGCGCCATGATGCTGTTACTTTCCGGCAATGGATGTGGACAGGCGCCCTTCTCAAGAGGCCGTCTTCCAAAACCCTCCAGTCGGCTTCCACGATTGTTGAAAACAAGTGCGGTTCAAAACGACGGGAACCTCCCCATTCCAGCCTCGTCTTTTTCCAGCTTCCATGATTGTTTGGAAAAAGGTTTCTAGTTTTTGTTGAGGATTCCTTGCGCCAAGACAAGACACAGCCTGCTGACTCGGAGGTTTGACAAACCGGGTGATCGCAAGGGTGCCCTTTGCTCAAAGTGCCCGCAACCCTTTGTAACAAGGGCCGTCTTCGTAAAGAGAACTTTGGCTTCAAAAGCTGGGGAGGATGTTCTAGCAGCAAACTTGCTAACAACGCAAAGCTTCAATGCGCTTGCATATGGGGTGGTACCAAGAAAGATGCTTCCAAAAAAAGAGGACACGAGTTTCCCTTGACTTCCCTTTGAGAAAAGGGAGTTCCTCAAAGAGGGACTGCTTCTAGCTTCCCTGACTCACCAAATAAACGAGGCCGGTGTGAGCAGGGCTGAAGGCAAACATGTCGTTTCAAGCTGTAGCTGGCGGGCTGACTTGCTAGCTTGCTGGTCAGCTGGTTAGTTGGTTGGTGTGCTTTCTTGTTTGTTCTTCCAGTCAGTCAGTCAGTCAGTCAGTCAGTCAGTCAGTCAGTCAGTCAGTCAGTCAGTCAGTCAGTCAGTCAGTCAGTCAGTCAGTCAGTCAGTCAGTCAGTCAGTCAGTCAGTCAGTCAGTCAGTCAGTCAGTCAGGTAGTTTAGTATATTAGTTGCTTGCCGAGTTAGTCAGGGAGCCAATGTGTCAATCAGTCGGTCAGTCAGGCAGAAAGGCAGGCAGGAAGGCAGGCAGGCAGGCAGGTAGTCAGGCAGTCAGGCAGTCAGGCAGTTGGTCGCTTCTGTCAATCCAGTTTGTCTCTCTAGTTTTGGTTAGCCAACCAACTAGCTAGCTGGATTAGTTGGCCGCTTAGTTGTTCATTCATTTGTCATGTGTTTTTTCATTATTGGCCTTTTTTGCTTGCTTGTTTGCTTGCTTGCTTGTTTGCTTGTTTGTTTGTTTGTTTGTTTGTTTGTTTGCCAGTTTCCTTGCTTACTTGCTTGTTTGTTTGTGTGGTTATTGCTTGTTGTTTGTTTGTTTGTTTGTTTGTTTGTTTGTCTGTTTGCTTGTTTACTTGCCTGTTTGCTTGCTTGCTTGCTTGCTTGTTTGTTTGTTTGTTTGTTTGTTTGTTTGTTTGTTGGTTTGCCAGTGTCCTTGCTTACTTGCTTGTGTGTTTGTGTGGTTATTGTTTGTTGTTTGTTTGTTTGTTTGTTTGTTTGTTTGTTTGTCCGTTTGTTTGCTTGTTTCCTTGTTTTGCTTGGTTGGTCTGCTTGGTCGGTTTGTCAGTTTGTTTGGTTTGTCATTTGGCCCTTTTTGTTTTATTTGGCTTGCGATTCTTTCGCTCTTCTGTATTTCTTGCTCGCTCCAAAGGGACAACTCTTCACACACACACACAGAGATGATGGTTCAAGCACGTGTTTGTTGGACCTGAGGTAGCTAACAACCGGGTAGCTTGACACAGGATACCCATTTCTTGTCTATCAATCTAGCAAACTGGTTTTCACTACCAACCTATTGTGTATGGGCAAAACCCGGAGGCTTTCATCCAAACTTTGGGCTTGGCTTCTCTTTTTTGAGAGCCAGAGGACCGCAGGTTTTCGTCTACTTTTCCATAGGGTTACACTTTGGACATCACCGCAGGTTTTAGTCTACTTGTCCATTCATCAGTTACATCAAGTTGTGAGCCTCAGCCATTTTGTGCGCCGTGCACTTCGCGGTCGCGGTCGAGTCGGAGGACATGTCGGTGTCCGACGCCCTGCAGCTGGCGCGGCAGGTGGACCCTCAGGGCATCAGGCGCGCCCGAGCCACGCTCGAGCTGAGTCGAGTCGGCAGGTGCGCTGGGGCCATGTCAGCCCGGGTTTTGGGGTGTGTGGTACGGTTTGCAGTTTTTTCCTTTGCGATTTTGCACCCAAAGTCAACAGGTCTTGGGTGCTGCGGTTTTCGGCTCAGGATGTTTTGATTTTTTCCCCCCACTTGTTCCCTTGTCTTTTGAGGATTGGTTGGGGTTAACAAGGATTATTTGTGGTTCTTCGGAGTTTAGAAGGTTCTTGGACCCTACCGACCTGCGCTGGTTGTTTCCCGTTTTGCCCCCAGCAGAACGCTTGGGGGTGCGGGCGTTTTCCGCTTCCGGAGCGGGGTTGTTGGGGATATCACTTAAGCTTATCGTTTGGTGTTTCCTTTTTTTTCAAGGCGCTTCTCTCCCATCTTGATAACATCTTACATCTTCACCCATGAAAGAACATAGTTGCAGCTCAGGTTTTGAGATCAACATTGACCAAGCATTCTCCCCTGCTTTTAGGTGGTGTATAAAGCCCATGAGGGTGGGCCCATTCGAGCTATTTCGGCCCATCAAATGTACGAACCCAGGGCCTCCCAGGGCGGCTGTTTGCTGCGGAGCAAGCCCTGTGTTGTGCAGCTTCATTTGAGCCACGTGCTCAAAACCCTTCGGCAGATGAAGGTCAGTAAGGGACAATCCCCTTGCCATAAGTAGCTGCGGATATCCGCCTTCTTATGTCTCTGCATGGTTCTGTGTAGACCGTTTTGATACCGGGTTTTGATTGTGACTCATTTTGGCTTCCGCAGGTCCATCGGGGTGATCACCAAGATCGACATCATGGACCAGGGCACGGACGCGGTGAAGATGCCGGGGCCCCGAGAAATCAGCGGACCAGGGAAGCGGTTTTCCACGGAACGACCTTAAGAAAGTCAAGGGTGGGGCGGAGGTTAGGGGACGGGGGTTGCATCCGGTACGACCCTCAACCTTTTCTCCTGTTGAACAACGTCGGTTTTCCTACCTGTTGGAGGGGGTCTAGCAGAAAGTAGGAGGACTGACCATTCACAAGATAACTGGCAGGCTACTGTTGGTGGGAGGACGAGAAGGGGGGAGGTTTAAAATTTCTCAAAAGCCAGGGGCGCCAACTGGCAACTGGGCAGAAAAAAGGGCAACAAGTGTGGGGCTCAGCTAGTGCTTTTTGAACCCCCAAACTATCTATGTGAACTAAGATAGGATCCAACCTCTCCTTCCCCACATCACCTTGGGCAGAAGTCCATAGCCACGATTTGAGGGCCGGCACCCGCCGGCCACCAAAACATGGCAGGTTTTGGGATGGTTGAAAGGTTCCCCTCGTTTTGGGGCCAGAAATGTTGATCAACCAATTTGACTCGAAGGCTGCAGCTAGAAGTCAGCTCCTGGCGGCAATTTAGCGAGGTCTTGGTGTAGTCTTCGTGGTTTTCGGGCCGGGGGACCCTTCCTGCCGCTGTTTTTTTTGTTTTTATTAAATATGTTTCCCCCTTGGTGTGAACAGGCATTTGGTGTTTTCATGTTTCCGAAGCAACTGGGGCCGTGCTGTCTAGCTGTTGCCTATGTTTCAAGTGAAGGTCAGGGACAGGAATTTGTGCAACAAGTTGTGACTTCTTGAGGCACAGGTTTGTCCCCTCTCCGTTTTCTTCGGGGATCCGTTAAGGGCATGTCTTTTTGACTGAAGGTACCCTTCCCTTCTTTGTTGTTGTTGAGTAAAACCACAAGGACAAGTGTTTCGCCTGTTTTCCTTTTATCTCTCAAAAGAGGCACACGTTTTTGAATCCCTCGCTTCAGAGTAGTGCCCCAACCCAGCGCAGGATTGATTCAATGGGAGTACCCGCAGCCTATCTTTGCCGCCTTTGTTTGCGGCAAGCCCCTCAAACAAGAATCACACAGAGCTGTTCACACGGGGGGCTTTCCAATTCATATTTCAGTGGCGTAACAACTTGGATGCCCAACCCAGGAAGCAAGTGAGTGACAACCACGGTCATAAGGGAACCAACTCCAATGATAGCCTCCTACCATACCTCACTAAGTAGGCTGACTATCCATCTATTACTTTCCGGATGAACCTGGAGCCCAAGAAGGGCATTTCAGAGGACTGTCCTTTCGGAGGATCCCATTTCTGTTTCTTTTTCGTTCGCTGGGAGTAGTTCGCCCATGGGACCCACCTCAGCCCGAAGCCACTCATTGGACCCGCAAGTGGCCGGAGGTTGCGGGGGGAGGACATCCCGTTGCGCCTGGGAGCCCGGAAGATGCGAATCGCGAGGGGGTGTCCTCTTTTGAGGATTTGGGGACCCCAACATGGCGTCGGCTTCTTTTTTGCCCCTTTGCCACAACGATGGGGGAACCCTTAACAGACACACCTACATCAACCTTGGAGCCCACCCAAGGCCAAAGATCCTAGCAGTCACTGATACGGACCCTTGGGGGGGCCAAATGTTGTCACATTGATCAACCTGGTGGATGGATGAGGGTGTTTCCTCTAGAGGTGAAGGTTGCCCTCTTAAGTGGGGCACTCTCCCCATTAATCAACCAGGGGAAAGCCTGCTCAACATCCGTTTGGGCAGAAGGTGGCGCAACTCTGGTTCTGGGAGACATAGCCTTTGATCATTTGGACGAACTTCTCGCATCCAGGACTGGGCTATGTGGGCGTGAAGATGCGCAACCAGCAGGAGGGCTTGATGCAATTTGTGTCCTTCCGAGGTTCATTCTTTGTTGACTTGGGCATGGAAACCAACAGGAAGCCGGACGCCATTTTTGGTGCTGTTTGGGTATGTGTCGACCTAGGACCCCTAACCTTGTGGTTTTCCTTTTGGTTTGCTTATGAAACTAAAAGGGGAAAGGAAGCACACATGTTGCCACAGCCCCTTTCGGTTTTCCTTCGTGGCTCCGTGTCGGGCCAAAAGGCACACCTGCTGTGGCTCTCGGCACCCATTTGTCTCAGAATGGGGACCCCTTGTTGGGATAGGGAAGACAACCACTTTTTGTGTACCCCCATTTTGACACATGCCCATTCTCTAGGAGCTTTGTTCCATAAGAGACAGTTCGGACCTTGCTGGAAGGTTCTTAGACTTGGCCGTGGAAGTTCATGGTCTTTGGCTTCTTTCTTGTTGCTCAGGCCTGCAGTGGTGTTTCATTTTTCTCTTGTTCTGTGGGTTTCCCCTCAGCATCAACCAATCCCAAACAAGCAGCCCTTGGTTTTTTTTTCTTCGAGAGAGACCTTTGGCGTCACCTCACGGTCCAGAGTGGAGCTCGGGGTGAGTAGTTTATTTTTTTTAGTTTATAATGACATTCTGGGCCCCAACTTTAATCCCCCGAACCAGAGAGGAAGCGTTTTTCGAGCTTTTTGTTCCCAACTTGGAACTTTGGGGGGGGGGTACTGCAAGATAAAAGGACCCCTTTGGATTTTCCGAAGCCAAAGAACATTCTAGGTGTAACTTCCCCATCCAGGGATCCGAATCTTTCTAGAGAACCACCAAAACCCTGGGGGAAATGGCCGGTTTTTGAAAATAACGATTTCTGAAAAGAATGGAATCGGACTCAATCCCTAGAAACATGGGTTCCACGGGCCTTCATTTTTTTGACGTTCCATGCCGCAGGACATCAGCACCAGCAAGCCTGTGAAGATCTCCTTGAAGGAAGAGAGGCCGGTAGTGCTTTTGGGTTTTTATGTGCTGCTGCAGGGGTTCCTATATTTCCCTTTTTGGTTGTTTTAACCATCACCTTTGTGGCCTATGCCCTGAAAGATGTGAAGATTCTGTGAATGGTCATTAACCTCAGGGAATTTGAACAACCTTTGCACTGGTTTCTATGAAGGGGGGCCAGAACTACGACCACATAATGATGCCCATGTCACATCTGAGCAGTGTTGTTTCATTTTCCCGTTCAACTGGAACAAAACATGTTAAAACCTCTTGCAGGGGCACTGACCCGAGCAACAGGTATTCTGTTGTTAGTTAACGGAGGACATGGGGGCCACGAACAAATTGCCTACAAGAACCAGGATCCCGACCCCCCCCCCCCCCCCCCATTTTTTTAATGTTGTTGGGTTCATGTTTTGATATTTTGCCAGCGCAAGGTGAGCCATAGCAACCCGCCCCTTTGATCCAGTGTTTCGCAAGGTGTTTATTTCAGACTGCTTCACTTCCATAGCAAGGGGAGCCATAGCATGCCAGCAGCGACTATTGGTGACTCGCCCATGCAGGGCCACCACCTCGTCCCCTTGCTACTGAATGAGCTAGGCTTTCGTTTGACGTCCATTCAACCTGCCCACCCCACCCCAACCCCCCCCCCACTCCACCCACCCACACCATCTCACCCCACCCCAACGTGAGGGAATGGTCCCAACCCAAGCAACTCGGGAGTTTTTGGCAGCCGAGAAAGTCCATCCTTGATATCTTCGCAATATTTTTGAATGAGCTGCGGCCCAGTAGCCAGACCTGTTGGCACCATTTCCAGAGTTGGCCATTTCTTGCTTCTCTTGCCAGGGCTTTGACAGTAATCATGGCATTGGTAGATCTTCTGACTTGTATTTGGGACCTCTGACTTGGTAATTATTGTCTCCGGTCACTGGTTGTCATATTGCTGCCTGACACTGAAGACACAACTGGAAGTTGCGCAATCCATCCCCAAGACTTTGATTGCCAACCTGCCATTTTGCAACCCAAAGGAGAGCCACCATTTTGAGAGTCCCCTAAAAAAGAGACACTCCCAGAAACAAACGATCAGGTTGGGGAAAAGGGGGACACGAACGGACAACGGGAACAAAAACGATCCGAAAACAAAGAGTCCCACCCGTCCATTTGTCCAAGGCTGGTGATTGAGTGCGAAAGGGGCGAAGATGAAGTATTTATGGCGAAGACGAGAGAGACCTAAGTTTTTTTTTGGTTGTTCAGGCTTTCTGAAAACAGACAGCCTCTCCCGAGGGAGTGGTTTGAGAGCCACCGGCTCTACAGCAAGCTTCCTCCAGGCGCGGGCGTCTGGGGTTGGCAGAAGCTGGGAAGCCACTCCGGCTGGGAAAAGCCCGCCCAAGAGTTACCCTTTGGCCCTCGCGGCGGAAATGCGCGTAGAAGCCTGGGTTGTCCCGAACCAAGTCTCTGGAGGTGTGTACTGTATACCTGTACAAGTTTGCGAGAGGGTGCACTCTCCCGGGAACGCGGGTTCCTGTTTTCTTCCAATGCTAAGATAATCCATGCCCTAGACGAAGGCCGGGCACACGGTGCTGCCCCGAAAGGTTGCACTTTTTCTACGGCCATTTGAAGGTCGTTGTGTAGCCAATAGCGAGTGGAACCGGCTGGACTTTTTTCCAGGGTCCTTTTGGGCAACCCCACAACGTAGCCACCGCCACCCCCCGCAACCGCCGCCCGATCCTTTAAGATCGGTATGGAAATGGAGCGATCAGTCGCAGGGCTTCGTGGCCAAAGGACGATATGATTAGCAGTCTACTGTTGGTTTAGGGCAGACAAGGGCGGGACGGGCCCCAGCCAATGTCTTCTTCGTTTCGGCATTCTTCGTCCGGGTGTCACGTGTGGCATGGGGAACAAATCCCCGCCACCCAGTGGGTTGCATCCTTTGGTCATGTTTTTTTTGTTTGGCTTCTTTTTCTTTCCATGGGCCACGGGTCTGGGAACATTTTCGAGGCCTCCGGAGGTTTCAGACTGAGCCCAGGCTTGGTGGGTATGGACACCTTGACCGGCAAGCTCACCACGCGCCTGGGCAAAAGAGGCCAAGGGAGGAGAGGATCTGCTGGAGCTCACGTGAGCGTGCTCGAAACCCGGGTGGATGGAGGTTGGTAAGGGATACTCCCAGCCATAAATAGCTGTGGCCGCTCTCTTAATTCTTTACATGGCTCTGGATAGACTCTCCCCACCAACCCATCCACAATCATACGACGAGCGATCGACCCAGCCCAATGACCCTGCTGCCCAGTAACATATCCACACACCCAGCCAACTGCTCCCGTGCCCGGCAGCCAAAGCACCCATTTGGCCAAGGAAGCAGGCACGCAAGCAACCTGGTTGAGTTTGATTCGCTCACTTCATACTTTTTGGTATGCCATTTTTGTGGCAAACCAACTGTGTGGACTTTTTTGGCCAACCCACTCAGGAAGTGAGTTGGCGGTGTCCCGCTTTGCGGGCGGTGTCCCGCTTCGCGAACACTTCACTCTTTTGGGGGGAATCACTAGTTTACAAATCGTGCGCGGCCGACAAAATGAGGGGACAGTGAGTTTTCGGAACCAGTACCTTTTGACCATCAGTCGTCTGAAAGTGAACCAGGCTCTGTCAAATCAACTGGGTTCCCTCGAGCCGGACAATTCTCGCCGGCAGCTTTGGGGCTGCAAGGCCCATGATCCAGCATGGGTGTCAAACGACGCCTTTGCTTGGGGTTTTGTCGGGGCCGGTCAAGCATGAAAGGGGTCTGCGACGTCCATCCAGGTTCCTTTTAGAAGGCTCCCACATTTTCGGTGGGCGAGTTGTAGTTTGTGCAGAACCATGGTAGATCGCAGCAGATGTAGCACAATCCACTTGCAATGTGTGAGCACAATGTGCCAGAAACCGCGGTAGACTCGCGGACATTTCTTTGCACGAACTTTGTAACAGGTGAGTGGCAGCCAGTGTCATTGATTGCTTACGGATGCCTTTGGGGAGGGCGAGAAGAGGGAGCACTCCAAGTACCCACAAACCCAGGTGGGTAAGGCAGCGCCCACAAATTTATCTTGTTCTTTGAGGGATCTCCGTAATTTTTCGTCCGTTGCTTATTCTGTACCATGGTCAAACGACCCTTTGGGCTTGCCAGAGCTGGTCAGCTCCTGGGTCGGCAGCGATTCTAAGGGATGTTTACTGGGGCCATGAGCACAAGTTTGACCACCGATTTGTTGAGACTCAATGGCCGATGAGCCCAGGATCCTCTTCAAGCACATCCGCAGAAGCTTGGCCATCGAAGGGTCGTCAACTTTGGACCCAATTCTCCATTGCTTGGGAGGATCCCCCTTCAAAGTTGTGGGATCAAAGGCTTTTCCCCGCTGTGCTACAAGGGAAGTCCCCCCTCTTTCTGGGGAGGGAGAAGTCAGTCTTGCAGCCCTTTTTGCTGTGCGGAAGTGGATTCCATTTCCCACAGCCCTGGTCCTCCTTCGGCCAAAGCCCTTCAAATCTGCGCCTTCCCAACTGCCACTGAGAAGAGTGTTGACGGTCGGATTCTCTCGCGGAGGTTTTTCGGGGGCATGCCTTCGATGGTTGACATCTTCCGTTTGTCTCCCAGGGGCTGGCAGTCTGGGTTTGTCTGAGGATTCGGACGGCCCAAAACCCACCTTGAGCTCATCCAAAACGGAGACTTCTCTACTCATGGATGTTTGTATTTGGGTTTCACGCTTTTCTGTTGTACACAAACCATCCGCGGGTCAGGTTTTTCTCATGATTGTTCCATAGCAAAGCGGGAAGACCCGAGTAAAAAGTCAGAATTCGGTTGAAATAGATGGACTCGGAACCGGTCTTGGTTGGCTCGATGTTCACTCACCAGTGCCATCTCTTTCAACGAAAGGGCGCCTAGCTTCGGGAAATGGGATTGAATGAGGCGAAAGTTGTTCGTGACCCAGCAGTTTGGATTCTGCTCAATCTGGTGCACTTGTCTTTTTAGCTCTCAAGGGGGATCCACCAGTTTTCGTTTCAGCCCGCCCGGCTTTCAACCATCGAGGTTCATCCATGCCAACTGCTGCGAACCATTTTGCAGATAACTAAAACTTCTTGGGGTTCTAGCTTCTAAAGAGGAAGAAGTGATTTGCGAGCTTGCATGCAGCTTGGGGTGCTGGTGCAGGGGCTCCAAAGTTTTGGGGCGCTGGTGGCTTGGCCACCCCCAAGGTCCGGCTCGGGTTCCGAGGCTCAAGCTCTGTGGCCAAGGGTGCAATCCTCGACCTGTCTTTTCCGCATTTGGGGTCTATGCTGGTGTTTCTCTTGAGTGGCTGGCATGCAGTTGGTGGCTACTGCTACTTGCTACTTTTTCGACCGGCTAGGACAGGGTCGATTCTGCCTCGGCTTTGCTGGCTGCGGCGGCTGTGGCTGCTACTGCGGCGGCGGCTGCTGCTGCTACTGTCTAGTTCTGCTACTATTTCGGCTGCTGCTATTTTGCGGTGGCTATTTCTGCTGCCTTTTCTGCGGTAGCTATTTCTGCTGCTTTATCTGCTGTGGCTATTTTTGTGGTGCCATTTGTGCCGCCAGGTAGTTCGACCTTGACGAGGTTTTCTTTTTCAACCTGTACCAGTTGCACTTCCATTGGAGCCTACTGGTAATACGCAACTCGTCCATTGCTCAGCGCAAGCGAGTTTCGAGTTGAGGATTCCTGCCAGAGATCAAGAAGGAGATCAATGAGAAGCGCAGGCTCACCTTCCTTGGGCTCTTGCCCACTCGGGCGGGAGCTGATTCCGCAAAGGTTTAAGTTGAGTCTCCGGATTTCTTGGGGGGTCGAAACCGTCTCGAACTGATGAAAAGGCTTTTGGCTGATTTGGGCGAGAAGGGATGAGCCAGAAAGACAAGACCGAACTGTCCCCTCATGTACCTTCGACGGCTCTGGAATTGGATGTTAAACCCTAATTATTACTGTTTGGTTGTGAGTCAGAGGAGGAACTCGCAACGGAACAGCTCCCAGGAGAGTCAACCAGGTATCCATGATTCGGGTCAACCCACCATCCGGCTTGATGGTCGGAGCATAAGCCCAGTTGTTTGTTCCTCCCTTTTTCTCCCTTGGAAGTTTCGCTTTTTTTCCTTGGACATCATCCAGGGGTATCCCTTACTTCGGGGTTTCAACTGAAAATCCTTAAGGCTGAGCGCTGGAAAGGCCCGGCAAAGCTTCCATGTCCGGATCGGATCAGGCTGGTGCAGGACCGGATGGACGAGCTGGGCACGATCCTGAGAGCTATTCGTTTTTTTTTTTTTTCCCGGTTCTCGCGGCGAGTCGAAAACTGGGGGAACTCCCGAAATGGGTGGCCTGCTTGTGGTTTCCCTTTAGCAACCAAAACACGTTCCCACAGGTAAATGACACCTTTTAGTTTCCCTGAACCCCAAAAGGGGTTCCCACATGACTCTCGAGCTAAGCTGAAGCCAGCGGAGTCCATGCGTTGTCAACCAAATTGACCACAGTGGTCAGACCTTAAGCAGGTTCCAACAAGGGGGTTTCAGCTTGCACCGAAAGGACAATCATGCATTTTCCGCGTCCGAAAGAAGCCCATTTTCGGCTGAAGTGTGTGTAGAAAGGAACCCAGTTCTTAGACCCCATGTGTGTACATTCGAAGTGCAGCAGCCAGTCAGCTTTATTTCGCACAAGATCTACACGCGATGAAGTCCGCGCTACATCAGGGAAGACTAGAGGCACCGGAGAAAAAAACAAAAAAGCAACAACAACGGAGATGGTTCCCGCAGGTCGTTTGGATTTGCATATGAAAAGCCGTCACTCTCCTGCAGATTTGTCCAGTGGAACGCAGGATTTCTCCACCAGGGTTTTCAGAAGGGCCGGCAGAGGCAGCAACTTCTGGGAATGACTCTTCGATGAGTGTGATGTGCGGTTGGAAGCAATCTTTTTACTGGTAGTGTTTGGTGCTAGACTCCCGGACATTGCCGCCCCTCTATCTTTTGGCTGCACATCACATGCATCCCAGTCGATGATTCGAATAGTGCCCAACATCCACTTGGATGAGTGTCGGGGAGGAACCCATCTGCTTCGTTTCCCAAGGACACTCAAATTTACAGCCATTCCCTTTAGCTTTTTAGGTTTTGTGGTAGAACCATTTCTCCCACTGAAAGTTAAATTTTGAGCCGGTTCGAACGTACCTGAAATCACGGCTGCTTGGCTCGCACTGTCCAAAAGGATGTCTGGAGCTAGATTAGCCCCAGAAGGTGAGCTGTTCGTCCGGTGAAGGAGCCATGGATCGCTTGGGCGCGCTGCTGTGCCCCGTCAAGCCGGATGGGAACTGGTCGGCTCCCGCAGAGTTGCCCCAGTTGCCCAAGCTGGAGGACTCCAAGGAATGCTCATCGAGCTTGTCCGAGGCGTCCACGTGGACCACCGAGGACTCCGAGGTGTCTGGGGCTTCGAAGCAAGAATTGCGAAGGTGCGCTCAGCAACGCCAGCTGAACAGCTTCTTGCAGTTGCACGAGTTCCAAGCGGTGAACAGGCCGAGATCCTGCGGGACACTTTTCGGCGAGAGCAAGATTTACCCGATCCATGTGGCCGCGCAGAGCGGAAACTACCAGCTGGTAAGGATTTTACTGGCATCAGGCGCTGACCCAGAATGCAAGACCTCCAAGGGCCGCAAGGCGCTGGACGTTGCCCGTGCAGCAAACCGAGATGGCTCGCACGAGCCGGTGCTTTACTTGCTCACCGGTCAAGTCAAGATCGGCACAGCTCGAGAGCTGCGCAGCGAGAGCAGTGAGAGCTTTTAAGCGCAGTCTGTGAACCATACTTGTGTTCAGTTGACACACTTTTCTCGTTCGACCGGTCGAATTCTTGAAGCCATTCAAGTCAGGGCCCAGACAAAAGAGGAACTATGCCCAGTTTGGGGGCTTCCAACACCCTAGGGTTCCTTGCCCGCAACAGAATAGCAAGGAGCCTATTTGGAGGGTGACAATCTCCAGGTACACGATGGTGGATTTTTTGAACTCCCGTTCTCATAGGGTGATCAAATCCCCCGGCCTGCCGTGCCGTTGTCAACACGACAGCTTGACAGCTTGCGCGATTCGCATCAATCCCCTCGGTATCACCGGGCCTCGGTCTGAATTCAGTGGCCGTGCTTTGCTTTCAAAACTCTCTGTGAATTGTCAGAGGTTCCTCTATTTCCCTTTTTGGAACCTGGAAAAGTGTCGATGGTTTCAATGGACACCACCAGGACTTTGAAACTTTTGAAGGGGACATCCAGTGACCCCCGATTTCCTTGGTGTCCAAATGGGAAATTGGATGGAGCTGATGGCCTTGATTGCCTTGGCTCGAGTTTTGACGGCGATTTCGACACGGCGTCTTCCAGAGGCCAGCGATTTGCAACCCAAGCAAAGCTTCCCTGAAGGTGAGAGGCACACATTTTGGGCCAATCTTTATGTGTATGACTATCCAGTCATCTTTTTCAGAGGAATACGAATGCCAAGCAAGCTTTGGGTGCGTCAAGCTGAGGGCAGCTTGCGGGGTACCTCTCCCAGCGCGACTCCCCAGCGCGAAGGAGCGTTCTGTTGGAGGGGACTCTGAATCTTCTTCTTTTCCAGTGAGCTTCAGGGTTGTTTTTTTCTCGAACAAGCCCACTCTTACCAGGGGGCGGTCGGTTTTGTCTCATAGCTGCATCTGCTCCTGGCAGAGTTGCATCTCATGCAATCGAGTCAGCTCGGGAGATGTGGTGCTCTGTCTTCCGAACCGGAACAGGGCAATGGACAAACCAAAACACGGAGTAGAACCACATTTTGCGACTTAGCGCGTGAGGTAACATGCAGGAAGTCGCAGAAGTTGGCCGGGTCAGGATGAACAGCGATCAACCGTCTCCCGATCACGCTAATGTCACAAGCAAGTTTCAGGGTTCCCTATACACCTTTTGTCGGTTTTGCACTTCACTTTTGGGGCCAATTCAAAACCAGCTTCCTGTTGGTGATGTCCAACTGGGAAATATAGGGAGCTCTGAGTCTTGCAGGAATTTGGCACATCCAGCAACCGTGCCGACAAGCTATGGCCTCGCTCCATTCGCACACGCAGTCTGGCGTGGCGGACTGTTCGTGCACCTGAGAATACGTCCCTGAACTGTAAAGACCAAAGGTTCCCAACGTGAACCTGTCTGGAGTCGCAATCTGTGCCATGTCGTGTGATGGCTGGGTAGTGGCAGCCTTTTGGGTTTTCGAACCTTTCTGCTACCCGAGCCAAGCGCAAGCCGCTTTCGCCCAGTTCGGACTGGAGGCCAGCTGAACTCAGGCAGCTTACCTCCGACCTCGTCCACCTGCGAGCGGACAAAGGTACTTTTCTTTCTTTCCTGGCCGATTTACTGCCGCTATTTGGGGGTCCATCAACATTCACCATCCTTTTTGCAGATTTCGCCTTTTGCAGCACCTTTTTGGGGGGTATCATTTGGTTATGCTGTTCCATTAGGAGTCCGCCCCTGGCACTCACCATCCTTGGAGGGGATGTCGCCTGTTGCCGAAAAAGCGGCACCGTTCACGTCAATCAGGTCAGGGCATCCCGCTGGAGGATCACGGCCGAGTGCAGCTCATGCCGGGCGCCCGGGGGCGGGGCTTGCGGGGAGCGTTGCACAATTGGCTTTTTCCACGTTTTATTTTTATTTTTTTTCTTCTCCGGTTTCCCCATGTTTGTTGTTCCCCATGTGGTTCACGAAACCTCCGATTCAGAAGAAATTCGCCCAGGCCCAGGGTGGGACTTGTGTGAAAACTTGGTTCAATCCAACCCGGGTTTGGATCCAAACACATCTTCAAAAGACATCTTGCCTTGAGAGCCACAAAATTGTGGGCAATCTTGCACCAAAATGCTTGCCTCGAATGACTTTTGGGGACTTGGGGGACGAAGATTCCCCGACGTATCACGGAAAGCGGCCCAGGAAGATGCATCTTGAAGAAGTGCTCGGCGAAGGCTAGACATTTGGCCCGAGGCAAGCAAGTAGACACGTCCAAACCCAGCCGAACACCCCAGGGGGGAAAAGCTCAACTCCAGTGACCTCAGCCGGTACCCAGAGCAGATGATGCAGGGTCTCGCAGCGGCCATCCTCTGCAGAGCGGGACCCGTCCTGGAGGCGCTGAGGCCGGGGGGCACGGTGCCCCAAGTGAATCCAAAGACCGTGTAGTTCGCCTCTTCTCAGCTCTTTTCTTCGCGCCAGCGAATGCTGCATCTGTTTCAGACGCATTTTTCTGACGTATGTGGCTGCCTGATGAAGTGAAGGTCTTCGTGCCAGAAGTTTGGCTGACAGATACGTGAGTAGCAAAGCCAAGCTGTGAGCCATGCAAAGAGTTCAGGGCAAGAACTCGGCGGAGACTGGCAAGTGCAAAGAAGCAAGGCTGCCAAGGCAAGCCGAGTGGTGAGAAGCATGTGCTTACACGCACGGCACATGGGTGGATTACTCTCGCTCATTGCCCCACGTTATACATCTGCTCGGCCGAGCTGCTTCGAAGATTCTTTGGGGCTCCCAAAGCCCCGACTCGCGGCTCGTTTTCTTTTCGGCCGGAAGGACCTGGTAACAAAACAGATTCACGTGGACACGCAAAGCCACAAGCCAACTGTGGAGTCTCCAAAACCAGAAAGCTTCCATGCAACAATCTGAGGCGTAACTCTTCAACCTCGTCTTTTCGCCCGGCAAAAGGTTGCCCAGGATTTCCAGGAAAGCAGCCGAGCCAGGCTGCAAATTGGATGCGACTTGGATCTTCAAACAACTGAGCAAGTCAATTACGACGGATTTTTGTGGTCCCCTTAATTACCATGGCCACAACTTAAGGGGCATCAACACCGAAAAAGGCAGCAAATTGGATTGGCTTCAAACACGTGGTTTCCCAAAGGTCCACTAAACCGACCCAAAAAAGCGTTACAACAACCAAAGGCGCAAGCAGGGCAAGGAAGTTTTCTTGCAACCATTGGTAAGTCTGGCAGGTTCTCGCGTTTCGAGTTTCCTTACGCAGAAGCCAAACTTGTCCACGCACATGTGGCAAAACAAGCGTGAGCAAACTGCAGATCCCGGGCATTTGGCTTCTTGCCCATTCCACCTTCTCTCCCTTCATCAGCGTTCCAGCCCAGACTTTTGTGACTAGGCTGAGATTTTTTTCAGAATGAGAAGATGGGGGGGGTGCGGCGTAACCCAACGAATTCCCTTTGCTTCAAGAACTGCTTCTTTCTTTGCGAATCAAGAAGAGTCAAGCTACTCCATACCCTGGAGTGGGCAAGGTGTCTGACCAACTTCTGGGGATGGGATTGCGACTCTGAGGTGGACCATGATCACGGACTACTGCGAGATGTTCAAGAACACCATCCGCGCGGAGCCCAAAGCTGAAGGGTAAACTCGCTTTGATTTCAGCATCGCCTTTTTGGGCAAATCGGGCCTGCCGATTTTGCTGGTGTGTGATCATCACCCATTTTCCTTTGTCGTCTACACTGCCCTGTCCCCATGACCGGGGCACTCCAGAGGACATGGATTCGCGACCGCAGGCCCAGTTTAAGTGAGTTGACTTCAAGTGAGGTGATGATTGAGGGGGAAATATAGGGAGTTGCAGGTTGCTTTAGCTGGTTGATCTGGCATGTCAGGTGAGTCGTTAGTAGCCATGGTTATAGCCGACGGAACGGGGGCTTACAAGCATGGCTTTGGTGTGTGATTTGCTCTGGCTACTAACCCCTTGCCGGCACTTTCGGGGACAGCCCCCCCCTGGCTAACAAGGGTGCGGCAAGTTTTGCTCTCGTGTTAGTTACTGTTAGTTCGGCTTATTAAACCATGGGCTTGATTTGCCTGTTGGTTTCCTTTTCGAACCACCAGCAAGGCGTTTCCCCCCCAAAAAGGAGGCACCTTGAGAGGTTTGGGGTAGACCTCTTTGCCAGACTTTGACCAAAAGGTGACTCTGCTGAGCTGACTTCGATCTTGCCGGCGGAAATACGCCATCCCGCCATCCCGCCAGGCGATAATGTCCACCACCAACCCCACGAGAAGGTCATAGGGCAATGGTTTTTTTAAAATACCTTCAGTCAGGCTCCATGGCGCAGGACAAGCGTTGCTTTGGGAAAGCCAACAAAAGGCTTCTTGAAAGTGGCATTGTTGCTCTCTGACAATGGAAGCTGACAAGGTGTGGGGACCTGTCCAAATCCCAGCTCTGCGCCACAAATCCCCCAAATCCCCTTTGTGGAGGTTCCCCTCAGGTAAAGCTTAACGGATAGGAGTTTGTCTTATGGGGGCCGCAAATGGGGCCCAAATTCCTGGAGTCCCTCAAGGGGAATGAAGCGGACCGCTGCTTAGTAGAGAGTTTTGCGGCCTAAAGGTTTTGGTGATTTGGGGCCCACGAAGGTTTGTTTTGTAAGGGAAACCTTATTTGCAGTGCGGCGAGTTCTTCTGATTCACCCAGCTTCTTATTAGGATGAGAAGAGATTTCGATGCAAGGAAGAATCATATTTCAGGGAACCATGACCCACATTTGGCAGAATTCATACTGTAGAACTTCACCCCGAACATGTGATTTTGCTGCGCAGCCATTGCCACTTTTATAAATGCCCAGGGAATTTTGAGAAGGGACAGGAACAGGAGTTCGCCCTTTGAGTTGGGTTATGTGGCCATGGTTCAATAGGTGCACAACCAATTGTGTTCTATTTTCGTGGAGATTTGGATGTGCACTAGGGGTACGATGTGGGTTGTGACCCATGGCCATGTATGAAAAGCACCGAGCCGCTTTCATCAACCCAACTCAGTGCATTGACCCTAAGTCACCGCAGGACTTGAGCGGAGTCGCCGGAGCGAAGTGGCAACTAACCGCAAACGAAGGGTAGATGACTGGGGCTTTCCGGTTTGTTCCCCCCTCCCCCCCTGTTGCAGGGAGGACCGCATTTGTGAAATACATATTCGTATAATATTCATATCTAAATATTCATATCTAAATATATATATATATATATATATGTATGTGCTACCCCCCAAACTCGGCTTTCCCTCTAGGTTTTGATTTGGGAATGCTTCCTCAAAGAAAAGCTTGCTAGTGCCATTAAAGAGTGGGCTGCCCGCTTACTAAAGTTAGTATATGACAGGTCTTAGTTCAGTTTTGCCAGTTCTAAGTCCACGGCGAGCCCATGCCGACGCCCGAAGCTAAAAGCCCAAGCTGCTTGACGCACTTGCCGTCTTCACCACGTGCTCGAATTAGTCATGATCAGGCTCAGGCTCATACAGACGATCGCAGCTCGGCTCGTTGAAAGGCAGAGACGGGTGCTTGCGCCGTTCAGACAAAGCTAGCCGACACTTCTTGAGAGCTTCCAAGACATGCAGCAGCTATCCTGCAGAGAGGCACGTAATTTACCCAAACCTAAACTTAGGCTAAACCTACACCCTAAACCTTAACCCATCAAACAACCTAAGCCAAAACCCTATCCAAAACCGACAAGGGTGGATTAGGGGGTGACAGCAACCCTCGGGCGCTGTGGGTAAGTCTAGTATTGCCCCGACTTAGTCGTAGGGCTGGATAAGCCACCCCTCAAAAGTAACAGGCTAATGCATGATTTGATCTGGGAATTCTTCCTCAAAACAAAGTTTGAGGGTGCCATTCAAGAATCCCCCGAACAGTCATATTAAAGAGGATCAGAAGGCCAGATGAGCCAACCAAGAAACAACTGAAGCAACCGGAAACCAAGCAACAGAAGCGTCAGAGAAAAGAACGGGGAACCAACAAAAACAGCAAACACATAGTATAAACGCGAAACACCAGCTTCCTGGGGAAGCCCGTCAGCCAGCTACCTTGAGGGACGATTTCTTGTTGTTGTCCAGAGCCTGAAGCTTCTAGAGTAGAGTTGTGCTTCCAGATACCTGTAACTCCAAGCGTTGCTTTGCTATGACGTCGCCGGGCGGGAGGTGCGCCCTGTGGAGGGGCTCCCCCCGTCCTCCTCCTCCTCACCACCACCACCACCACCACCACCACCACCACCACCACCACCACCACCACCACCACCACCACCACCACCACCACCACCACCACCACCACCACCACCACCACCAGAACAGGCGGAACACACTGCACATACCAGTGAACTCTGTCAGAAGGTGGGTTTGGGCGGGGGTACCAACAATATTTGTATGTAATATATATATATATACACACACATCTATTTCACGATATATATATATATATACACATGTACATATGTAAGTATGTATACACCTGTTGTAGAGTAGATTGGTCTCCGGCAGAAGTTACTTCTCTCGAGTCGTTTTTTGTCGGCCAAGGCGGGAAGTACGATCGGAAGCTGCAGCGGTACTTGGCCAACCTGCGTGGGGCCCGGCTGCGACTTCCTTCGAGAGGGGAATAGACCCGCTCTCCTGTGGGAGGATGGACGCGTTCATTTGGCTGGTCCAAGCCAATGGTAGCATTTTGGGCTAGGTGCACCACCCATTTTGGTCAATTTCAGTGGGGATTGGGATGTTCATTGGGGGTACGGGATGTTGACCCATGGCCATTTGTGACATGTTTTCCTTTTTGTCCGCTTCTTGTAGATGTTTCGCAGGGAAGGGGTCTTTTCCAGCTTGTTTCACGTTGTTTTTTCCAAGTTCGACTGGCACGTTTGTTTTCTTAGCTGACATGTTTCCCCATTCCGTTATTGTATGGATGTTTGACTGGGAAACGTTTTTTTTTTTTTGGTGTTTCCTTTTGCTTCCCCTTGTTCCCCTTTGTTGGATGTGGTTCCCCCTTTTCCCGCCTGTTTGCGAATGTTTGACTGGGACGTACGTCCCGTTTTCTTTTTTTTTGGTGTGTGTTAGGTCTTTGTCCCGCTCTTGTTGATGTCTGAGCCACAATAAAAGTCCACGTAAGTGAAGGATAAGGGACCGTGCCAACCAGAATTAGGCGCGGATATCCGCCTGCCAAGTTTTCACTACTCAAATGAAACCAAGCGTGCCGCATATTTTTTGGACGCATTTGCTGAATTCTTGGTTCCTCTTTTTCCGTTCTCGATGCACATCTCAATGTTTGTTGGCCAAAGTGAAGGGCTCTCGGACAGGTTGGTTTCCTGTTGATGCTTTTGCCAGAGATCCATAAACACATCCCATGGGTTGGTTGTTTCTGGCTCTTGAAACAACACCCCTGGGAAGACTTCCAAGTCCTTCCGGGTTCTTTTCGGCTTTCCGTTAGCTTCACCCCTTCCCACAAAAAGGCCAAGCGACAACGGCGGCGAAGCCTGGTCCCCGAAAGGATGCTTATCCGGAGACCAAATCACTTCTGATTCAAGAGATTCCCTTGATCAGCAGGTGGTGTTTGGATGCTTTCAGGAACCCTAAATGATGCTTGGACAAGTGATATGGGGTCGAACCCAGGCACGGGGGCGATAGCAGCTCCATGTCTGGCGGAGCGCACGTGCCGCAAGCTCAGTGTGGGGAGGTTTGAACTCTGGGTGTGTCGTTCTTTGGGGAACCTGTTGTTGGTTTGGTTTAAAGGGAAACCAACAGAACACCCACCATTTTGGCGGGTTCCCCAGGTTCCCCTGTTTTTCAGACAAACCCAAATCAGAGATTTATTTTTCAAAGTTTTGGGCAGATCGCCGGGGATCCCATCACTTCTGTTTGGGGAAGCAAAGCCGCGGCCTTTCCTCGGGGCATCGCGGGGAAGTCGCGAGCTGGGTGAAGCCAAGGAGTATTATGGTTTATACCAAGTGCCTTGAGGAGTGCCAACCCATATGTTTGGATTATAAGCACAAGCCGCATGCCCAGAATTTTCTGGTGGTCGCTGGGGGCCTGGGATTTTGCATGAGGCCTGTCTTGGTTGCCACGTTTCTGGGAAGAAGCCAACACCTTGGGGACCGGTCGAAGTTCCTTGGGGCGCAGCGCAAGGCATTTTCCGCGGCGTTTCAACCATGGTCCACTAAAGGCGTGACCATGGGGTAAAAGGACAAGGGACCCATTGACAGTGCCTGGCAAGGGTGTGCAGAAACAAGTGGCAAAGATGGGTGGCAGAAACATACCCCCCCAATGTTGCAATGAAGCGGCACACCGCCCACTTTGTTTTTTCTCATGTCATCGGTCAACATGTCCAGTCACAGTCTAAGTTTTTCTGTGAACGGCGTATTTTGACCATAGCTCTTTATGTCTTGAGTTCAAGACATGGGCCGCCATGAGCATCCTTAGATCTCAACTTGAGACATGATCCAAAAGGGTATCCCTGATGGTCGTCGGCATTGGCAATTTTTTTACTCTCTTGGTGAGAGGGGCTTGCAAGATTGGAGAGTGTCTTCGAGGCCGGAACGGAGTGGTCCTTTTCCAAGCAGGCCGCCTCATTAAAAAACACACCCAAATTGGGACAAAGTCTGGGGAAAGGCTCTTTGCTTTAGACCTCTTGGGGAAATATATGCGAAAGCCGCCTAGTGCAACTGGTTTTGCAGTCTATGAGAAGCTGGTCATTTTGACCTGGGCCAAAAGAAGCAAGTGAGGCGGCAGATCCTGAACGACTTCCTGGCCGGCCCCTAAGAGGGTCTCGTCGCCTATTTATGTGAGTGCCCGCAAGCCTTCAGGGGGTTTCCACAAGGCCCCCCCCAGCTTCAGGGAAATCGAAGTCTGAACAATCTCCAGTACCCCCCCTCTATTGAATCACATTACCCGGGAAACTGACCGCTAAGGAGGCTCGTACAGAGCTATCTAATTGGAGACCTCAAGATCTGTGTGAAAATGGGGGGAAATGGGTAAAGATGTCATGGCCGCGTGTTGTTCTTGACATTTCCAGCCAGGCATGTATAGCAGATTGCCTGTAGCCCCTGGACTACTTGCGACGGGTTCAGAAATCAATTCAGCCTTCCGTCCCCCTTGCGCCAACATGAAGTTGAATGTTAATTGGGGACCCTGGAGTTATGTCCATCCGCCATGTTGCCAGCTGAAAGCTATGGGGTCTCTGCCCAAATATGGTTCGGGGCAGCTTTCAGGAAGGTTCCGGAGGGTTCCGGAGGGTTCCAGAAGGTTCCGAGGCTGTCGGGACATCAATTTCGCGTCTTTTCTGGGCCTGGGTTGGCCACATATAACACGGGCTGAGGCCATATCCTGAGAAAGCCGGAACGTGTTCTGTACGTGGTGAGCCCTGGGACAAAAAGTGAGTCAGGAGAGACATCATTCGGATCCGCAACCCAGAAAAATGTTCGCGCGCTTGGATCAGAACCCCTTAGGCAGGCCCTTCTCGCAAGGTTGTTTCAGGATCCTTCCCCGGGTGGGGTGGGGTTCGTTTTTGACTTTTCTGCCACCCAACTGCGGTTGCAGGCAAAACGGAGGAAGGGCGCCTGTTTTTCGGGGGCGCCGAGGGTTTCAGTTGGGTCAAAAAGAACTCCTCCCCGTTTCGGTTTTTCTCGTTCCCTCACACCGGGCATCGATCGCGCAGGCGGACTACCTGGAGATTCCCATGACAGCGGAGATGACCGATGATGACATCGACCGGGCGATCCGCATGCATGAAGGTGGGGGGCTTCCAAGTTTCTTTTTTGTTGGGGGGGGGGAAGGGGGGGGGGCCTGGTCGCAGGATTCATTGTGGGTGATGGTTGGGGTGGGGTGGGTGGTGACTCGGGGGTTGCAAATGAAGGGGAGGGGTGGGATCAATCCGCGCCGGTGCTTCAGCAGAGGATCCAACCTTTGATGTTTGCATGGCAAGTGTGGAGGGATGAGCATCAAAAACAATATTCATGGGATCAACAAGAAGGAGTCTTGGGGATCAAAATCATGATTGAGACCTAGTCCGCAGGTCTCTTGGTCTCCTAGTCCCTGGTCTCCTACATCTTAAATGAAGCGAGCCCTTGTTTTAGGGCGAATTTCAATAAACCAACTTTGAAAACCACCCCAGGGTCAAAAACCACGTTGCAGGCACCCGATTTGTGGCCCGACGGCCGCAGTCGAGTCGTTCGGCAGGCGACTCCTTGCCTGGCTTCCCTTCCCCGGACACCTTCGAGTTCCTGGCGCTGTGGGGAGCCCCAATTTTTAACTCAAAAACTTTGGTCGGAACACCATCCCTTCTTCCATTGGCTGAAAGGGCATGTTTTTTCTTCTTCTTATTCTTTTTTTCTCGATTTTCCCTGGTTGGCTTTAAAGGGAATCTATTCCTACTGGACCTATTTTTTCCAGAGCTTAACCAAATAGAGGAATGTTTAACACCCTCCCACCAATTAACATGGCACCTCACAGGCCCTTTAAAGGGAACAATTTGCCAAACCAGGACCCTCCGAAACGTCAGGTTCCATGTCACTTGGCGGGAGGGTCCCGTCCGTTTTTTGTAAGCCTTGTTTGCCTTTTGGAGGCCCAGCGGGGGCAACACATGCTCACCCTAACTTGGGCCAAAAATCGCAAGGAGTTTCCCAGAGACAGCCCCTTCCAAAAAAGAAGGTGTTGGTTTTCCTTAACCTGACGCCAGGTTTCCCGCCCGCACCTCAACCAACAACATGAGCGCCCAATTTGGGAGGGTTGCCCACCCGCTCTGAGGCCGCATCTGCAGAAGATCTCCATCCCGGCAGTGGAGCTGGGGACACAGGAGGGCGCGAGTGCGGGGAAGAGGGAGGGGGGGTGCTCATGCGGAAGGAAGGGGGGGGGTGATGTGGTCCACTAGTTCTTGGACGGTATGAGAGCCACACACCTGACCTGGGTCCTTGAAAGCGAACATTCTCGAGGTTCCTAAATCTCTTGGAAATCTGTCTTTCCACCGGGGTTTGTCTCTGAATGGGGGGACCCCCCAAGAAAAACATATGGGTGTTGATCAAAAGGTCCTCAAAATAAGGTCCTTTGCATAGGATGACCATTGGGGGAGGTCCCCAAAAAAGATGATGTTTCCCACATAGGCTCATTTGGGGGCCCGAAATGGAATATGGGTCAACCCACCCCCATATCCTCCAAGATCTCCTCAAACAAAGTGAGGCATCGCTCGCTTCCTTTTCCGCGAATCCGAAGCTCGGCTTCCGGCTTGAGGTGCGTGCACAATGTGGCCTCCGCATTGGATGCCGGGACCCTTCTCCTGAGTGAGGGATTTGAGGGATCTGAGTGAGGCGGGCGCTCGAGAAAACCCAGGTCAATAAACATATTCCATGTAGGGCCCCCGAAGGACCATGGGCAACTTTGCCAGTGTGGGAAGTATCATGTTTTTGAAGGGTGGTTTTACCCCATGCTCATCCCATGTGAATGGACATTTTGATCAACCCCCCATGTGGGTCCGAAAAACTTTGGGTGCAATTCTTTCTTCAGGCGTTGGCATGATTTTAGACTCCGCAGATCTGGACGAATTAGTCCACGACCGGTTCCATCGATGGGGTGAAGCGAGCGTAAGGTTATGACGAAGTTTTCTAGGGGATTCCTCATTCCTCAATGTCCAGTTTGCGCACAAGAGGATGCAGTCGAAGCAGGTAAGGTTCTGTGGCAGTCAGCAAACATTTGGACTTGGTGTATTGGACAGGGGCAGGGCACCACCTGAACTGGTTAGTTTCCTTTTGGTTCCTGAGAGAGAGTATCCAGTAGGTCCCCTTCTGTTGGTTGTGGGAGCTTGGGTTCTCCTGGGCATGGCTCACTTCAGTGTGAAAGAAAGGGCCATTTCCCACAACCATGCACCCATTTGCTTGCGGTCAGGGATGTTCATGGGCTCTGCAACCGGTCAGCTTTGACAAGGCTTCCGGTTTTTTGGGTCGCCCTGACAATTCTTTCCTCCGGTGGCTCCAGATGCGTTTCAGCACTTGGCCATCTCATCGCTCCAAGTGCACTTGTTCGTTCCGCGCCGAAATGTCTTTTCTTTTCAGCAACTTCGAGCGAAATAAAAGCCGCTCTCCCCGTCGAAACTCGGGCCCTGAGCCTCCAAAGGCTTTGTTCGGTTTCCGTTGGAGAAACCGCCCCCAGTTTCTGTTGGCGAGTTTTGAAGGGAAGCCCAGAAAGGAACACCGACTCGAAGCGTTATTTTTTGGAGATCCTTCTTCTCTTTTTCCGCCAAAAAAAACACGGCTCGTCCAAGCGTTGCACTTTTGTCCAAAAGCGAGAAAACAAACACGTGCTGCGAGGTCCTCTCACAGCGCATGGCTCAGTCCGTGTTCCGGCGCTTCCCAAAGCTTGCGGAGGCGACGAGATGTCTCGGCGTTTGGAGTTTTAGCCAAGCTTGGCTCCCAGCCCTCCTTTTCCACTTAGCGTTTGGGCTTTTTACTGTGTTGCCCAGTGGTGCCCTTTTTTCCTTTTGTTGGGTCAGGGTGCCCCTTTAAGCTCAACCAACCAAAAAAGGGTGCCCTTTTTTCCCCTAACCACTGGGCATCTGAGTGTAGTGTTTAGTGTTTAGATGTCCATTTGAGCCCAGTTAAAACATGACCAAAAGGCCAAGAAGAAGCCAGGGGAAACCATGAGATGGTCTTTTTGGGAGCCCATTTGACATAAAAGCAAGCTGCTGGGGTAGGTGTGCCTGGAGATGACTGCGAACATCATCCAGGAGTGCAAGGACAAGACCCGGATAGTCGTGGAGCAGCAGGCTGGAGACATATCGCACTGGACAGGCTCCCCGCCATCCGGTTCCTTAGCTTTTTAGCCTTTTAGTGTTTTGTGCTAGTTTCCATTTAAGCCACCAAAAGTTAAACTTTTAGCGGGGGGATCTGAGGGCAGCCCAGAATGAGCACCAATGCAAGGTGTCCAAGATTCAGCAAGCGAAACGATCTACATAAGGAGTTCGATGGCACACATGAGGTTAAGTCAACATATTCTGTCTACGGGAGCTCTCAACACTCATCTCCAAGATCACTCTCGAATTGACCTATGTCCGTAGAGGGTTTTGGCAAGGTTTAGCCAGGCAAAAAACACCGTTTGCCATGTTGAGGCTCCAAAAACATGAGGGTCCCGTCAGTATCTTTCGTTGGACCCTTGTAGAGCCCCCTTGAAACAGGGAAGTGCATGGGTGGTTTCTCTTCGCCCCTTTTCATTCCCTTGGTAGCCACGAGCAATCAGATCATAATTCGGAGGGCGCATATTGCTTTTGCGGGGTGTTGGTTTTCAGATCTGCTGGGAGTGACAGGCTTTCGTCGGGGATGGGATCCCTCTTTGGCTTGCGACTTGGGGCCTGGCCCTCAAGGTTTGCCACTGACCTGGCTTGGACGTTCCAAGGTGCCGGAATTGTCGGTCATATCTTGGCAGGTCCTCAACGACCAGGTCGGTTCAACCACGTGGGTACTTGGATCTTCAACTTGGGTCATGGTTCAGTAACCGTGGGTCCAGATGGCGAGTTGCAACTGTTGCCCCCCCCGACCATGGTTGTCTTGCTGGTCAGCCGGTATAATCCATCCCCTATGGTTTCCTTTTAAGGGAATCCCCCTTCTGGGTCATTCCGAGAACCCTGGGTCATTCCCCACTTGTCGTATCAAGTTCTAGCTTACCGGTTGGGTGTGTTACGGCAGGCTTACCCTCCCTCCAGCAATCACGGGCGCTGACGATCGGAGGGTTTTGCAAGACGACTTTCCTTTGCGGGAGCCCCAAACGTAGTACTGAGCACGTTTCATCCCGACCCAGCCCTTGTTGATGGCATCACGGAGGTGGCCTGCAGTGTGGGCTACCTCTTCACCAACGATTTGCCCGGGCCCCGGAGGGGCGGCGCTCGCCTGCGGGTTTTGCGGGTTTTGCAGGTGGGAAAACGTTCGTTTTGACCGACTCGGGGATGGACGAGGGCTTTTTTTCCTTGGGGTTTTTCAAAGGATAGCAGGACCATCCCAGCTGATTTAGAGGATCCGAATCCTTACACGGGCTTTTGGAAGTGGAACCCTACTGAGCCAGATGGTCTTGTTTCCCCATGAAAATTCTGGAGGTAAAGCGAATATCACGTTTTGCAGGTCGAAAAGTCGTTTTGTTTTCGCCCCAACAGCTGGAAAATCTGGTCTCTGCCTAGATAGGCTGTGAAGTGGTTCTTGGGGAAGGGTTCTCGTTTCAGAGGAAAACCAGGTCCGGGGTTCTCCTTTTTGAAGAGAAACCTGTTGTCCACACTACTCTTCCAATTGCAGTGAGCATTTGAGGACGTCGCTTTGATGGGCCGAGCACAACATTTCCCAGGGTTCAATTTTGGCTTCTTGGGGGGGGGGGGTTCCCTATTTTGAGACAACCCCAACCCAAAGTTTGACCAACTCGTGATGATCCATCGGTACCCTGTCTACTAACCTGGAAGGTGCCGTTTTGGGGTCCCGGACCATTTTTCTCGAAATTGGATCCTGTGGTGGGTTCCATAGATGGGAGGGTACTTTCCGCAATGGACCATGGCTGTTTACCCATCCCATGCACTTCCGATTTTGCGCGAGAGAGACTTTGCGTCGTGGCGTTGTCGCGGATCAAATCGGCGGTCGTGAAGCGTTGGAAGTCATAGGAGCGACCCGACATTTTGTGCGCTCCAGCAACTTGCGACATTCGACATTACTGTGTTTCTCCTCAAAGTCTAAAGGTGTCTCCCCCATCACGAAATATAATCGAATACCATGTTGGGATTGTACTCCAGGCTTGATTTCTGGTTTAGGACAGCTATGGAGTATGCCGAATCACCAAAACAGGATTTTCTCAAGCCACCTAGGGCAATTTTGACCCAAGATCAACACGATGAGCTCTAAAGTTCCCCAGCAAAACCAGGGGACTTGGTGCCTTTTAGGTCGAAGGCTTCGATTTTTTGGCCGCGGCTCATGGAGGGGTTCCGACCCGACTTGCTCAAGCCTTGTCGCTCGCCTCTCACGAGGTCCTACCTCACGGAGCATGGCTCTATGGAGCCGATGATGGAGGATCCGTGCGGTCTGCTTTTCTGGTGGACACAGGTCCCAACCCCGTTGTTTCTCTTTGGCTGAACATCTGGGGTTCCCATTCAGGAAAGGCAATTCAGGTTCCGCTTGGGAATACGGAAGGCGCCTTTTCGACCGGAAGGCGACGCGTTTTTTGGTCTGAAGATGAGGCTTTTTCAGAGCCGGGCGAGTCTTTGATGGTAGGCTTCGGGGTTTGATTTCAATCGAAACCAAAGGAAACCTGCAAGCTTTCGCTAGTTGAAATGCAACACAGCTCAGAAAGCAAAACTGGAGGGAGCACGAGCTCGCTCATGACAGTCCCTTGATAAGTTATTTCCTATTTCCAATTTGAGACATGTAGTAACTGGCCGAGGAACATCCTTTTCTAGTCTCGGACCAATATTATTTCCGCCAGGACTCATTGCCTGAGTGTATGGACTTTATACTTTTCGGGAAGACCATTTTGGTGGGAACCCAAAAGTTCCGAAGTGAGAATTGTCGACATTTGCCCACTTGGTTGCTCCACTCTGGCACTCAGAAGCCACAATCAACCGGTAGATGCCAAGGAGGTGTCAGGGTTCCGTTGGTTGATTACCCCAAGGTAGACTCAAACCCACGGGTTTCCTTTTGGGGAATGGGATTCCATGGGTTTAACCTCGAGGAATTCAGATCTTCTCATTGGTTCGGGTAGAGGTTTTGATTACCTGACGCCAGACATGCCAAGAGCCCTAGGACAAGACACCGCAACCGCCGCCCGTGGAGGAGAAGAAGGACAGGGCTTCCGGTAGATTTCCACTTATTGCCGGACTTTGCCAGACCGTTCGCCATTTTTGCCTTCTGGGTTTTCCTAGTTTTCCTTGAATTTTTGCTTTTGTGTTGTTTTGAGAGCACCTTTTTTAGCGGTTTGAACGAAAAATCAAAGGGGAAACCAACATGGGGATTGCCATCCTGTAGCCAAGTGGATCCAGCTTCTGGCAGACCACGTGGTTCTTCTGTAGATTGGCCCCAAAATAGCGGCTTTCACTTTGGTTCTCCTCCGAGCTCACCCCAAAACGGGTACCTTCAAGACATGCGGCTCCTACTGAAGGGGTTCTTTGGGCTGCGGCGCGTTTCCATACCAGGACCCGACCTTCGGCGAGAAGACCATGCAGTCAATGAAGGCAGGAGGTGCCGGTTTTTGGGCCCAGGCGCCGACGGCACTTGCAGACGATTTTGGTGGCACAAAGTCGGGACT